AAGAAGAAAATTTTTAAAAACCAAAAGGCTGGGTTCACGTGTTCCTGTTGTTGGGGACTAAGATGTTATGTGAGCCTTTATTTGGAGCCCGTGTGACCTGAGGGGTGACGGAGTGCAGGGCTGCACACCTGGTCCATCGACACTGCTTCGTCTTGGTGTGAGCCATCTAGAAGCGACAGAGGGCCACACACTCCCCCTGCCCAGCACGAGACTGGCTGTACCCCGGAGGCTGCCATCCATTTCCACCCAGCAGGTCACTGGTGCCTCAGTGTCCTGGGAAACCTCACTGATGATGTGCTGGAGCCACTGCACCCCTCAGTGGCTGGTAGAAAAGATAAGTGTTAGGATTTGGGACATTATCTGTGAGCGGAAGGCCTGGCCCTGCGTTTCTGCCTGAGTGCTCACGGCTGGGGGCTGAAAGGCAGGAGGAAAACACTGAGGGCACCCAGCACGGCCCCTTCTTTAGAACCTGCAATAGGGGCTCTGGGGGTGAGGGGCGGCACGTGGGCCTCCCCCTTTGCCCTCTCTTGGGAGCCCCTGAAGTCCCGGGATAAAGCGGTTTGGAAGGGTTTCCAGCAGATGCCTTTGCAGAAGCCTGAATGTCCCAAGTCAAGTCCTGGGAGGTGACAATGTCTGTCTGCTGCCCAGCCTCCCATTCAGGGGAAAGCTGCTTAAGCCCCTTAAGCGCATTAGCATCTGGATGGAGCCTGACCTGGGCGCTGGGCCCAAGCAGCAAGCATGCTGGCTCTAATCCCGGCGTTGTTTGAGGCAGCCAGACTGGCTTGTGACACAGGAGTGCAGAAGCCACTCCCAGGGCCTGACCTGCTTCGTGAGCTGTGCTCTGCATGTAAATGTCTGTAACCTGGGCTACTTGGGAATGCAGCCCTCACTGTTGTCCAAAGCCAGGGGACTACTCTTCATGCTGGCTGGTGACCCCATGCCAGGGGACAAGGTGGCGAGTGGCTGAGGGGCATGCAGGGTGCTGAGGCAGATGCCACCCTTCTTGCCTGTCCCCACCCAGTCCCAGTGTCCACTCAGGGGCCTTCATGGAGCCTCACCAGCAGTTCACATGTCTGTGCTGACCTTACAGACCTGGGTCAGAGAAATTCTTTCTAAAATCTGTATATTATGGTGGTCGCTTCAGTAGGAAGAATGTTAACAGCCTTACTGAAGTGTGGGTTGACACACATGTCACAGTCAATCTGTGCTCCTCTGTGCCGTGGACAGCCCATCTGGTCAGTCACTGCCCTCCCCTGCCCCTGCCTCAGAGCCCCTACAGCCCCTTGTCTGCCCTGTGTCCATAGAGTTGCCTTTTGTGGACATTGGGTGTGGACAGCCTCGTCCTGTGTGGTCGTCATCGCTCACCTCCCTGCAGTGTCTCTCTAGGTTTGCACTTTCCTGAGGGTGGACATCTGTGCATGGTGGCCATGTGCTTGCTGGCCTGTGTATCCTCATTGGTGAAATGTCTGTCCAGGTCGGTGTTGGGTCATTTGCTGGCTGAGTGGTTAGAATTCTTTGTGGACCTAGACAGAAATCCTTTATCAAATGTATGCTTTGTGAGTGTTGCTCCCAATCTCTTGCTTATCTTCCTGTCTTAATAGTATTTTTTGTAACTAAATTTTAAAATTCTGATGAAGTTCAGTGTAACATGTCACCCTTTTAATGGAACATTTTTTTTGTTTTGTCAGGGGCTGGTTGGCATGTGTCATGAGTTGATGGCCCTGTTTCCTAGCCCTCAGCTTGCCTTTCCCCACTTCGTTGGTGGGGCATGAAGTAGGATACGTTTAATAACTCATGATGGGAGTGGGCAGCCTTCCCATCCCATCAGGTTTCAATGAAACTGGTTTAGGAGCAGAAGGTGGGGAGCTCATTACCAGCAAAGGAGAAGAAACAGCAAATGCAGCAAAGGTCCTGTGGGGCAGAAATTCCTGCACCCATGTGAGAGTGCCAGCATCCTCCTCAGAGAGCCAGAGACTGGCATGAGGCAGAGCTGACGTGGGACTACTGCCCCACAGAGCCAGAGAGAGAAGTCTTTGCCCAGCCTCGCTGACCAACTGGAGAGAGATGGGCAGAACGCTGACCTGAACCGAGAGGCTGAGACATAAAGGCCTGTGAGCAGCTTGAGAAGCTGTCTTGATAGGGGAATTGTAACCTGTTGCCAACCTGAATCATAGCCAGGCAGCTTCTCCAGTAAAAACTGTACCCGTGAGTCTGGCTCTGTGAGGTCCGTGCAGTCACTGCAGTGAACTTCGGAGCCAGCAGTAGTACAGGACGATTGGTGTGGGGATTAGTGTGGAAGCGTGGGGGTCACGTCTGACTCAGGGGAACCAGCATGTGTTGTGGATGTTGCTGATGGAGGCTTTTCCGCCTCTGGGATTAGTGGAGATCAGACGACCATCCCCGTGATAACCCCACTCTTTTTACACAAGGTCATGAAGATTTTTTTTCTTCTGCGTTTTCTTAGAAGCCTAAGAATCGTTTCATTCTTTTGCAAATGCAGATAGGATTTCCCCGGGAGCACGCACCTCTCTCACCCCATGGAACTGTCTTGGCAGCCTTACTGAAAAATCAGTTGCCTCAGATGTGAGAGTTTGTTCCTGGACGCCTCGTTCTGTTCTTTTAGCCTATGTGGGTGCTCAGGCACTGATTCCTTGCCGTCTGGATTCCCTGGTTTGGGTCAGTTCTAAAAACAGATGATGTCTATTTTCCACCTCTGTCACTCAGCAATGTCTTGTTCTGTGATCTTTGTAATTCTGTGTGATTTCAAGGTCAGCATTTCCATTTCTAACCTCAACCCCCCAAAAAAACACCCACCCCCATTAAGAGTAGGATCTAGCGTTGAACATTGTGGATTAATTGTGGGAAAATCCCCGTCTTCACGCTCTTGAGTCTCCTCATCTGGGGTTTTCTTATTTCTGGTTGTACCCAACAGCATTGACTGAAAAAGGCCCCAGGAATTGATGGAATACCACTTGACATGTTTCAAATGACAGATGTAGCCTTGGATGCGCTCACCAGTTTATGCCAGGAAATTTGGAGTACTGTTGCCTGGCTGACTGAAGAGATCCGTCATTGTTCCTAGTCCCAAGAAAGGTGACCCAACAGAATGTGTAAATTATTGAATAGTATTATTAATATCACATGCAAGCAAAATACTGCTGAAGACATTAAAAACTGGCTATAACAATCCATATACAGAGAACTGCTAGAAGTTCAAGCTGGTTAGAAGACTGTGCCACCAGGGTATCATTGCTGATATCAGATAGATCCTGGCTGAAAGTAGAGAACACCAGAAACATATGTCTATTTCTGTTTTCTTGACTTTGCAAAGGCATATTTGACTGTGTGACTCATAACAAATGATGGCTAACATTGAGAAGAATGGGAATCCCAGAACACTTAACTGTGCTCATTCAAAACCTACACCTAGACCAAGAGGCTGTTGTGCAAACAGAGCAAGGGAACAGTGCATGGTTTAAAATGAAGAAAGGTGTTTGTCAGGGTTGTATCCCTTCTCCATACCTTTCCAGGCTGTATACTGAGCAAATTATTTGAGAAGGTGGACTTTATGAAGAAGAATGTGGCATCTGGATTGGCGGAATACTCATCAGTTACCTTTGTTATGCAGGTGACACACCTTGCTTGCTGAATGTGAGAAGGACTTGAAACACTTGCTGCAGAAGATCAGAGGCTGCATCTTCAATATGGATTGCATGTCAACATCAAGAAAACAAAAATTCTCACCACTGCACCAGTAGTCAACATTGTGATAGATGGAAAAAAAAATTGAAACTATCAGTGACTTCATCTTAGTCGGAATCCACGCTCAGTGCACTTAGTACCTGCAGTCAGGAAATTAGGAACTATTACACTGGGAAAGTCTGCAGTCAGGGACCTCTCCAGAATATTGAGGAGCAATGGAGTCAGTTTGAGGACTATGGTGTTCAAGGTCGTGGTCTTTTCAATCACTTGCTATGCATCTGAGAACTGGATAATGAATAAGGATGACAGAAGAACATGCCTCTGAACTGTAGTGACTACCACTTGCTAAAAGTCTGTAGGCAACCATCTTGAGCAAACCTTTAAAGGGAGCAACAGTAAGCTTAAACAAAATCACAAAAATGTTAGGTTTCGAGGTGTTAAAGAAGAGTGCTGAAGATCCCACAGACAGCCACAAGAACAAAGCAGTCTGTCTTGGAGAAGGTGCAGCCAGAGTGCTCCCTGGAGGCAAGGATGGTGAGGCTTCGTCTCACAGGCTTTGGGCATGTTACTAGGAGGGTCTATTCCTTGAGCGTGTCAAACTCAGAAAGGTGGAAGCATGGCGAAGGAGAGGAAGACCCTCAGCGAGGTGGATCGACATGGTGACCGCAGCAGTGGGCCCTAGTGTGTCAGAGGTTGTGAGGACGGCACAGGACAGGACAGGGTTCAGATCTGTTGTTCATGGGATTGCTGTGGGTCTTGGTCATCTCGATGACTCTTAACAGTGGCAGTCTGTGATTCACAGGTACCTTCCTTCCATCTCCCTTTCTCTCAGCGCTGTTTGGTTTGCACTTGGCTTCTGTCTCAATTGTGAGTGTTGTCTCTCCCCCCAAGCTGACAAGGACTGCAGTCCTAAAGATCCCTCCCTGTGAGCCTCTTGCCCTCTCACCCTGCTGATCTGAGCGTTGTCCTGGTCTCTGCGTGTGGCCGGCTCTTCCTCAAGGAAAAGCTTTCTCCTTCCTGGTACAGTGGAGACTGGTAGAGCTTCCTGAGCTGCTGCTCAGCTCCAGCCGGTCGCTGGCTGTCTGCTCTTGGTCAGCCTGGACTGCCTTGTGTGGGTGGCGTAGCCCTGCGGTGACAAGGTGACATCCACTTCGCCATGGATGTGTGCTGTCCCCACCTTAGCCGACAGGCACTGCAGAAAGTACTGGTCCCGGCCTTGGAGTCAGCCCTCCTTCTCTTGTGGTTTCTGTGTCTTCAGCCAGGACCTCCTCCATGACTGATTCTCTGTCTTCCCACAGACTCTCTGCACAAAAGCCACCATGCAAACCATCCGGGCTGCTGACACCAACGAAGTCGTCAAGCTAATATTTCGAGAATCGGACAATGACCACAAGGTAGGCCTGTGTGTGTACGGGGCTCATGTATATCAGTCCACGTGTGGGGGAAGTGGAGCATATATGTCTGTCAGTCGTGTACTGCGCCTGGGGACACGTGTGCCACTCCGTGTGTTCTGGGCGTGGGGACAATTGGGCCAGTCGTGTGTACTGGGCATGGGGGCACGTGGGTGTCAGTCTGTATTTATTAGGCATGAGGGCATACCCGTCAGTCTGTGGCCGGAGAGAGGCTGGGCACAGTTGAGTGATCCCATCTGTGGCAAGCAGGTCCCTGCCTCACACCGTAGGACACCAGGCCCATCTAGGGAGGCTCTCAGTGTGACTGATCTAACAGGTCAGACCAGCAGGTCACTCTTGGCCACAAGGGCCTCCAGGTTGGGGGCACTTTGGGGAACGGCAGGAATCTGAGGTGCTGAGTAGAGCTGCAGAGAGCTGGGTGCTCATACCAGTGACACCCACCCCCCTCACCCCCGCTGACCCACTTCTGATTTCATAGGTCATGCTCCAGCTGGAGAAGAAGCTTTTTGATTACTTCAACCAGGAGGTCTTCCGAGACAATAACGGCACAGCGGTGAGTGTCAGGGCGGGGGCCTCCCTGCATCCCCTGCCCAGAGCCCCAGCTTCCTCGGATCCCCCACTGTGCAGCCAGTGCCTCAGCCGATGTGTGCTGGCTCCACGGTCCCCCTGACGTGCATCCAGAACCCCGGGTGATGTGCGCTGGCTCCCTGGGTATCCTCTGATGTACACCCAGTGGTCTGGGAGACCCCAGATGTGCACCAGGTCCCTCCCTGCACTGTGCACCCAGTGCCCCTGGTGAGGTGTGCTGGCTTTCCACGTGTCCCCTGGTGTGCATGCAGCACCCCAGGTGATGTGTACCAGCTCCCTGGGGCCCTGGATGTGTGTCCAGCTTCCTGGGAGACCGTGTACACCCAGCACTTGAAGCATCAGCTCCCCCAGTTTCTCAGAGTGGATCCAACTCTCCTCGGGGGCTCCAGCTGTGCATGGGCTTGCCAAGGCCCTTCCGTGCTCTCACCTCCATGTTCACTCCCACCAGGAGCCAGTCCAAACAGGTGGTGTCCACCTATAGCTGCTTCCTGCTGCTGTGGGCACAGGCTCTAGGAGGCCACCCACGCCTGTGCCCTGTCCTGCCCGTCTGCCACGGGCACCCTCACACAGGCAGCCCCAAGAGGAGACCAATGGCCTGAAGAGTCGATGGGGTCCCAGGCACACCCTCTTGTCCACACCTGGCCCCCAACCCCAACACTTACACAGACAATGTCCCTGTGCTGTACACCCCTAAAATCCTTCCCACCCTTCATCACTGCGGTCTTGTACCCACCTGACAGAAATTTAATTCAAGCTGGCTTCTGGAAATAATTATTGTATTTTAAGAGCAGTAATCATTGGTCGGGACATGATTGAATGTGCCCATGCCTATTGACTTTTTCTATGATTTATAGCTTTGTTGAGTCGATAGCCCCATCGAAAGTGTATAATTAATTGTAAGTGTGGCTGTCAGGGTGCAGGATGGAGAGCCCTGGCAAGGGTTTGGAGAGATTAAATTCTCCGTGCCTGTCCCAGGGCTCCGAGTTCTCCGCACAGCCTGTGGAATAGAGATGTTTCTGTGTGTTTAGCAGCCACTCAGCCCAGGACACATTGATTTTTCGGGGCCCTTTTTCTCTGCCGTGCGGCTGGCAGCAGTAGAATCAACGTGGTGGGGACAGCTTTTGACAGGTACACACGAGCCGTAGCTGCTCTGTCAGTGTCCCCAATGGCCAACTCCGTTTTTTACTTTGTAATCAAGAAGAAAAATGCCTGAGATCCATCTGGAATTGGTTATCACATTTGCAAAATCCTTGCCCAAGATACAGTGAGCTCAGCGACACACACTGTCACCATGTTAGAACCACATTGGCTTTCCTCACACACAGCCGAGGGCCAGCTCTCATTCTGTCCTTCAGAGCCAAGTACCCCACTGAGTCTCACAGGGAGATGGTGTCCCGATGGCCAGCAGCCCCCAGACCTGGCCTAGGATGGATGCTACTTGTGCCTGTAGTGACACTCAAGACCATTCAGAAGGGGCCACTGAGGAGCCTGGGCCGACCATGGGAGGGGGTGGCCTGCCTCACCTCAGTCCTCCAGCAACCCCTGACACACACTCCAGCCCCACTTGTCCCCCCGTGATACCTCAGCCCCTCTCGTTCCCCCGTGACGCCCCAGCCCTGCTCGTCCCCCCGTGACGCCCACAGCCCCGAAAGCACCTCGCAGCCCTTCCTGTTCTCTGGCCACCTTGTCCCCTGTGCATTTGTGCTCATCTCAGATGACTGGCATGTGGACCATTCAGAGACAGATTTGCAGTATCTAGTTAATTAGAAAGCTCCTGACCCTGCTGCCACCTTACACGAGGACAGTGTCATATCAGTGTCCCTGGGGAGTCCTGGGCCTGCCCCTCAGGTCCCCCCACAAGTGCCTGGGAAGCCTCTGGTCTTTAAGTCTTTCTGCAGAATTAAAACTGGAAAATATTAACTAGTGGATCAAAGAAAGCCAGTTTCTCCCATATAGAACACACATATATGAACCCATACATGTAGTTCTGTGTAGTGTCAGAGACAAATGCATGTGGATGGGCCCACACAGGTGTCCTCACACACATACTCCCAAAGGCCAGTCACACATGCATACACACTAATGCAGGCTGACCCCTCTAGGGGCATGGCACACTGTCGGAACACGTCACACTAGACACAGAGTGATGGACACACAAACACTGTCAGAAACACATCACACGAGACACAACGTGATGGACACACGGATGCTGTCAGGACACACGTCACACCAGACACTGTATGACGGACACATGGATGCTGTCTGGACACACAGACGCTGTCAGGACACATGTCCACCAGACACAGCTTAATGGACACACGGATGCTGTCAGGACATACATCCAGCAGACACAGTGTGATGGACATACGGATACTGCCAGGATACAGGTCACACGATACACAACACACGTCGCGTGGTACACAGCATGGTGGATGCTATCAGGACCCAGTTCATGTGGGGCACAGAATTAGACATACAGACTTGGTGAAGACTTTGGAAGGGACACGTGGATTCTGGGATGTCATCTGAAGCGCCCCGAGGCCCCACCCTCCCCTCTGATCATGCCTTCCAGGGTGCACACGTATGCCTGCTGGCTTCCTTTAGGCCCTTCACTGTCATTGCTAAGACGTTAACACGGAATGGGACGTGGGCAGGCAGCACAGGGGGCTAGTGGGGGCCCAGCAGAGCCTGAGGCTCGGGGGCTTGGGTTTCGCCTGTGAGAGGTGTTCCCACGTCACTGCTCAGGAGTGATGTCTCAGGGAGGAGTCAGGAAGGAGAGCTCGGGCTGGGCTGCCCACGGAGGGACACCTGGTGACACGCTCTCCAGTCCTGCGGTCAGTACAGCATTGAGTGACTCCAAGCTCAGGTGGTGTGACGCTTGGGGTCCGGGCTCTACAGGCCCCTCTGTGTATCTGAGGGTCCTCACAGTTGACATGGCCCTGTCACAGACTCTGGCAGAACTGCACGGTCCCTCTATGGGCGCCTGACTTGCCTCCTGTTCGGGCCACTCTCCTGCTGAGTCTTTGCCCGCGTGCCATCAGTCCCCCCCAGGATGCTCCATGGCAGAGGCCACCCTTCCCTTGATGGGGAAGCTCTATGAGCAGCAGTGGGAGAACTCCCAGCTCCAGCACCTACAGATCTTTGTGTAGATTCCCTGGAATGAGGGTGCATGCAGTACACACCCAGACCCTGGAACTTCTGGGAGCTTCCATTTGGAAAATGCAAAGTCAGAGATTTTGTCTTTCTTTTTTTCTTTAGCTCCTAGAATTTGACAAAGAGTTGTCTGTCTTCAAAGACAGGTTGTGTGAACTGGACATCTCGTTTCCTCCCAGGTAAGGCTCCACCTGCCTCAGGGCCCCAGCCCTCCTCAATGTGTCTGTGAGCCGGGGTCCCAGCACACAAGTGTGAAAGCAGAGGCACACAGCCCTGCAGGTCTGCCAGATGTGTGTGCAAGTCACGGGAACTCACTTGGGGCCCTGCAGCAGTCAGGACAGTGGCCAGAAAAGCTGGAGGCCCTGCGAGGCCAGACTCTGTCCAGCACCACACTTAGAGCCAGTCCTGCGCCCCATGACACTGGCCCCTAGTTACTGCTCTCCCTAAGGAAACCTTTGCATCAACCCCAGGAGACAGGACAACCTGGCTGAGGCTTCTCATCTATGTCTGCCTGATGCTGTTCAGGAGAGCAAGGGACTCCTCGCACGGGGCCCTGGTCTTGCCATGCACCTGGCCATCCGAGTGTCATCCTGGGAACTGAGCAAATGCACACAGACAAGTGGCCGTGTCCTCACACTGCCTTAGGGCAGACGTGCGCTGTGGTCTCTGTGTAGGGCCTCCCTGCAGCCCCTTGGGCCAGATGTTCCCTGCAGAGGAGCCAGTGGTACAGAGTGGGCCATGGGATCTGCCTGGCACCACAGGAACAGATTTTGGCGTTCCCAGGGTTGACAGGGTGCAGGCCTCGCCAGAGGCCCTGAACAGAGGTCTGTAGGGAGGGCAGCCTTATGAGGGGCCTTGTGAGCAGGGTGACCTTGTGAGGGCCAGTTTCTCATCACCAGGGGCCAGTCTTGCTGGGCAGGCACTCACTGCTGTCCTGGACGCTCAGTCTCTATTCCTGAAGGATCTTTCAGACTTCCTGGGGGAAACAGGTGTTCTGTCCCTTTAAGGGCCTCCCTCCAGGCCCAGCTAACAAAGCGGGCAAGTCACCTGGTTAGCATACTAATACATCTTCAGCTCCAGACAGCACCACTTGTGATGCCTTCCTCTGAGACAGGCGCCCACAGGTGGTCTAGCAGGGTGCCACTGGCTCTGGTTGGAGATGAGCAGAGGGCTGGCCCCCGCTCCTGAGGGGGCTTCACCGTCCCTCTGAGCTCCGTGATGCCTGGGACCATCTGCACTGGCATCCGAGAGAGTGAGCAGACTGCCCCACGTCAGCATCACCTGTGTGGAAGTGTCAACGCTGACCCATCCTGACCGGCACAGACTGCTGCCTCATCAAACTGCCTGGGACACATGAGGCCTCGGGGTGGGGAGAGAAGGACCGGATTTACACCAAGTGCTAACTTTCGAACAAAACATAAACGTAGAGCTTATACACATTATTGGCCAGAGTAGGGATCTCTCCTTACGGGGTACAGTTATTTTAAGTCAAGGCTCAGAAGCCCATTTGGGTGGGTGTTTGGAAGCTGTGTTGTGAAGCTGCAGTAGAAATCTGCAACTAGGATGGTGATCTACTTAAATGAGTGGTTGCTCCAGGATGGACGCCATCAGCCTGCAGGCTGTCCCCAGGGCCTGGCTGGACCGACTGAAAGGCCATGGGATGCTGGCTTCATCACCCCGTTTCAATGGCGCCCCATGTCAGTGGCCTCCCGTGTCAGTGGTCCCGTGTCAGTGGCTCCCCATGTCAGTGGTCCCGTGTCAGTGGCTCCTCATGTCAGTGGCCCCCTGTGTCAGTGACAGCCCATTATCAGTGGCTCCTGTCCAGATTCACTTGCACAGTTCTTTTTCTGTGGTCTCCTTTGCTTGTTAGGAATTTAAGTGGTACTTGGTGGCTTGCAAGCTGCTGTTCTCGAGGCAGCGTCTATTTTCTGCCTGCGAGTCCTCATTGTGCCACGCCAGTTAGCCCTTCTGACCACCAGCTACCTCCATGCCACACTTTGGGGGTCAGTGGTCCCCAGCTGGCAAGCAGCACTGTAGTTGGGGAACAGTTTAGACCCCACCAGGTGATGTCAGAGCCAGGCCTCACACAGCTGAGAAGCTGTGGAACATCCTGGGCTTCTCCCAAGGATGGCATCGGGGAGCGGCTATGAGACGCTCACCTGTGGGCTCAGGAAGCGCCCCACCCCCAGGAGCACTCCCCCTCACAGTCAGCACAGTGCCTTAGACACCCTGCTGTGTTGTCCCCAGGGTCCATGGCAACACTGTTTATGAGACAAGCCACCACCCAGGTCCTGCCCCTGTGCTGTCAGCAGCCTCGGACACCTGGTCAACAAGCTGGCCATGGGCCGCTGTGCTGGAGGGGCAGGGCCGGGCAGGTGCCAGCACACACAGGTGGGCGATTGTTGGCTTATCTGCATGGCTGGTCATTAGGACGACTGCACAGTGGGCAGAGATAGGGCCCACATCCTGGGGTCCCACCCACTGGGTTTGCTCTCAGATAAGTCTCCACATTAATCATTCTCCTGCTGCATGTGTCCGGCTCGGAGTCCCTAAAACCCTGCCCAGTGCCAGCTGCAGCCCCACCCTTTCCTGGGGCCCAGCGCCATACTCCCTCCCAAAGCCGTCTGCAGCACCCCTCAGCCGCTCTTTGCTGATCTGGGGGTCACCTTGCTGGTGTCTGGGTGGGACACTGGCCTCAGCTGACCCCGGCTGCTTCCCTTATTAAGTCACCTGGGACACTTGCCCCAGTGCAGGCCAAGGCTAATCAGGGGCATAATTCTTTTTTTTTTTTTTTTTAATTTTTTTAAAAATTTATTTTATTATTTTTGTGCGAGTGTACCGTCAAATCAGATCTGACTGGTACAGGAGGAGACTGACCCTCCTTCCCCGGAAGAGCATCTGGTGGATTTGAACCATGCGCCTCTGGGATTGTAGTTGCAGCTCCTTGCCACTAGGCCACCAGAGCTCCCCCAGGGGCATAATTCTTTGAGGTCCCTATTGTGAGGCACCAGCAAGCCCAGGCCTGCCACCTGTGTAGGCCATCCCACCCACAGGCCTCCGTGAGGGCTCCTGACCCCTCCCCAGCCACCTGTGCAGACACAGAAACACTGCTTCGGGTCCAGCCAGGAGACAGAGCTCTTGGCCAGTCAGTCAGTCAGGACACACTTAGCTTGTGCCCACAGGTGTCTCTGAGAAGAGACTGCAGCGGTCAGTACACAGCCACAGCTGAGCAGAGGGCTGGTGTCGAGACATGTGACATGCAGCCAAGTGGCTGGTCCTCCCAGATTGACCTGCCACACCCCAGCTTTCCTGTGGCTGGTGCAGCTGTGGGCATGGCCCGCCCAGGGTCCCAGCACAGAATGGACCAGCTTGTGCACTGGACCCAGTTTCCCGTGAGTCAGGCAGGGATGTCTGCTGAGGTTCACTGGGTGTGGTTGCCCTCAAGGCCTGTAGCCTGGCAGCAGGTCCACTGAGGTCCCAGCCCTGGGGCCCCTCACTTCCTGCATCCCGAGGCCTGACCGTTGGTCTTCGTGTGGCTGCCACTGCCCTTGGTAGCCGATAAAGGGACAGCCTGGGACAGCGACTGTGCCTGATGAAGCCCAGCCTGGGAGGGTCTGAACCTCATGGTCTGTGCCTTTTGTTTTGTACCATAAATGCTGGAAAGTGGCCAAAAGGTTATGTCCAGGTGCAGGGCTTGGGCGACCAGCTCCCGACCAAGAACCCATCTTTCACCATCAACACTGGGTCCACACCGAGGGGCCAGCCCCAGACAGTCGGCTTGACATTCGGACGGATGTGGTGTCCTACCCACTCCCTCCCCTCCCCCATCATCAGGGGCCGGGCTGCCCGTGCTGTCCCCACTGTCCTCCAGACCACAGCCGTGACACGGCAGTGAAAGAACAATGGACAGCACTGTACAGAGTGACGTCCACAGGAATGTGTGTGCTGCAGCCTGTGCTCGGGACACTTCCATGTACACCCTGCCCTCCGCAGCCCTTGCCACCCTGAATTACACTGGGAAGGAGTAGCCCAGAGCCACTGACCGTCCACCCCATGTCTCCTCAGCTACCCGTACAGTGAGGACTCCAGTCAGGGCAAGCAGTACATGAACACCCGGTGTCCTGCCTGGTGCGACCGCATCCTCATGTCCCCGTCCGCCAAGGAGCTGATTCTGAGGGTGAGTGTGCCCAGGGTGGGAGCCGTCAGGGCTAGAGAGGGCACAGAGCACCCCCCAGGGACAGTGGCTCCCCCTGCACCCTGACCTTGATGGCAGTGCTTGGGTGAGCATGGTAGGCCAGGGAGTGTGGCGTCCTGGCCACTGTGTGGGTGCACAGGGTGGGGGACCCAGAGGGATGTAGGTGAGGCAAAAAGCCATGGCGGATGCTGGCTCTAGGGAAGCACACCCCGGCGCTGGCCAGTGGCCTCCAGGGCCAGGACAGACGCCTGCAGGTGTGGTGGGCACACCCTCTCCCACGTGCCCTGAGCAGACGCCCAGGCGAACCGTCTGAGCCAGCGTCCCACCTACCTCATCCATCACGCCACGCTCAGTCACCCGCGGCACGGCGTGCAGACACCAAAGGTGGTGTGTGGTGCAAACGGTGCGCAGTGCTGCCGTGACGGATGCTCACCGAGGTGTGAGGCTGTCATTTGTTTATCTGTCTGAAGACTATGTAGCTGAAAACCAGCAATTTTATGCTGTCTTTGTAAATTACCATGTTGAATTTGATGAATGTGTCGCATCCCACATGCCGGCCAGAATAGCAGGCACTCGGGCGTCCAGTGTGGAAGCTTTACTCACTCGCCAGCCATTCTCTTCAGTTCTAAGGTCCTCTCTGTGACTGAACCTGAGACTTGGTCCTAAAGTGTGGGCTGAGTGTGCATAGCCTGTCTGCTCCCATCTGAACAGGGGTCTGGTTGGAGAGCAGGCCAGCACCAGCCTGGGAACTGCTGTAGGTGCAGAGGGGCTCCTGGGCAGGAGTTGGGCTGCACCTCCACTCCCACCCCTGTGTTTGCTTTACAGTCAGAGAGTGAAGAGAAGATTGTCACCTATGACCACATTGGGCCCAATGTCTGCATGGGGGACCACAAGGTGATGGGGCACCACGCGGCCAGCCTGGACACAGGCGGGGGGATGCAGGGAAGTGGATAGCGTGGGGAGGTGGAGGGAAAACTGGACAGTGGTGGGAGTAGGGACATAGGGGTAGCAGGACAGTGGATGGGGCGGGGCAGTGGACGGGTGGGGGCAGGGCAGTGGATAGGGCAGGGAAGTGGGTGGGTGGGGCAGGGGGTAGAAGGGGGAGGGTGTAGAGGGGGAGGGGCAGTGGGGGAGGGGGGAGGGCAGTGGTGAGCAGCTGCAGCAGGGGCTCCTGGTTTTCTCTCCTTAGTCTGGTTAACAGAATAAACCCAACTGGCTTACTTCGTTTTCATAGAACGCGCGCTCATATTAGAATAGAAAATGAGGTCTGTGTTGGTCACTGTCAGCAGCTGACCTGAGGCCTCCATCGAGTGTGCAGGTAGACCGCTCTTGAGCTGCCCGGCAGCCAGGGCTCGTGGCCAGTCTTGGGCATGAGCGCCTGCACGGTGGCCTCTCAGTGTTCCATAATCTGTCTCAAAGTATCCCCTTTACAAAAGCATTGGTTTTCAAGGTTCACCTGCCAGGGCCCCAGTCTCAGGCACACATAAGCAGGGTGTTGTTTATACCCTGTGTGTGGGCTGAGGTGTGCTATGTGAGAGTGGGGGGCCCAGGGGCTGGTGAGGGTGTTATACCACAGAGGGCTGGTACCTAGGGGTTGCTGGAGGCGCTGAGTGGGGTTTCTCAGAGGTGGGTTGGGCTGCAATCTAAGAGTAGGGGGGTCTTCCGAGGGATGGGTGGGGGTGCTGAGGTCCCAGCAGGCAGTGGGAGCAGCTGTGGGGCCCCGCGGCAGCTCACAATGTCTCCCCTGCACAGCCCGTGTTCCTGGCTTTCCGGATGGCGCCCGGGGCAGGTAAAGCTCACGCGCCCGCGCACAAGTGTTGTGTCGTGCAGTGACGTGTGGTAAATATGCCTCCTTCCTCCAGCCCTTTGCGCAGCTTTGCCCGCTGCCCCTGCCCCCTCACCCACCCCACACTCCACACAGGGGCCAGACGTCAGCACCCAGACAGACCCCTTCGCCAGACCAGCCTGTAGCCAGGAGGCGGTGGGAGAGGACCCCGAAACACGCACCCGAACAGCTGCGATCACAGCGCGCGCCAGGCTGGACGCCGGCCCCACACTTCGCTTCAGCCTCCGGAGCGTTCCGGAAAAGCCTCACATACCTCACTGTCTTGTCTGTTCATGTGACATTAAGTAGAAATAGTGGGTTTTTTAAATAACTCACAGTCCTGTTGCCAAAACTCTAATAGACAGCAAGGAGATTCTGTATTTTCGATTTCACGGTTTTCCATTTGTAATCACGGTGGAGTCGGACTGTGGCACTCGCCCGCCCGCCCTGCTGTTTACTGCCATGCTCCATGGTCTCTGAATCACATGCAGCTGCTTCCCATTTTATACATAAATATATATAA